CTGCTGAGATACAGTCATATGCAATGCATAATTAAAGTCATTCTAACATCACAGCCAAGTTGACCAGGGTTAAGTATAATAACATGGGTTAAATCATGGAGGTTTTGGAAGAATGTCTCACTTTAATCACTCCAGATCATGTAACTCTACTGCTGAATGATAGCATAAGCTTACTGTCATTTAAATTAATTTAGTAAATGAGCCTTGTTCTTGCCTGTGTTCAAATCTTATCATAGACACACTTAAAAGAGGCCCAAACCTAAAAAAAAGAAAAAGCGCAAAATTTGATGCGATATGAATTAGATTGACCAATTAAGTACAGATTAAACAAGATAAATGAAATAATTAAAATAGGCCTTTTGCATGGTGTGTTGTCCAGGTGTCCCTCAAAGAACATGTTAGAATTTAAATTATGAAAAAAACTATGGCTGTAGTTAAATTGCCAACCATTTCCACTTCCACACAGGGTGGTTAGTGGAGTCCAGGTGAAAAATTATCTAATCAATCTGTGAAAGATCACAACCAAAAAAACCCACACTGCAGGGTAGCTAGTGAAACCACACTGTCTAAAGCCATGGCAGAACAAGGATACAGGGGAAACAACAGACAGAGACAGAGAGTGGTGAGGTTTAGCATTGGTCTATACTGAGCCAACTGACATATTTAGCTTTATGTTAACTCAATGCTTTATTTTACTTTTACTCACATTTACTCATTCACTGTAACCTATAAACTAGTACCAGTAGGCTACAATTTAGCATATGTGGACCACCGTATATGCTATTTTCAGCCTAGCAAATATTGGCAGGGGATAGATGTAAACATAGGATATGCGTCAGGTCTTAGGTATATGTAAACAAGCACGACAAAAAATAAATAATTAAATAAATGAATTCAGATCAGTGTGAAAATATCAAAATTGTGCATCAAGGCCCACAGTGTAATTGCAGCCTATGTAAAAGCTTTAACAACTCAGATATGTGTGTTATACATATATGTAAACAATCTCAGTTAAAAAAAGTTATCTTCCTACCTTTTTCATTCATCAGAGTGTGATCATACGGTGGTCTGATGCTCTGGGCGGAGCCAGTGCCCAGCATTAAACCAAAATTGTCTGCATGAGAACTCTTCCAACCACAACGTCCATCTTCGAATGAGCAGGACGTCCCACAGTCCTTCTCATCACTGTTGTCTCCACAGTTGTCAGTAAAATCACATAGTTGCTCTGGTTTGTAACAGTCACCGTTATCACACTGAAGTAAACCTAGTGGGCAGAAGTCTGAGGACAAACACACACAAAGTATGTAAAGTATGATATAAAAACAAGTATCATATTATATGTTGTGTAACACAGTGTGTAGAAATGGGAGAAATGCACATTGTGTGTGTGTGTGTGTGGATCTCTGCTTGTGGGAATTTCAGTATTAAATGGGTGATGTGGCGTGAGGAAGGGGGGAGGTTTCTGTAATGAGTGATGAAAAGAGTGAATAAATTCTCTAAACTTTTCTTCCTGTGGAGAGCTCAAGGCCATAGAGCACCTCTTTTTTACACCATTCCATTCATCCTTCTTTATTTTCTCTACAATGCCTTCTCCTAGAACAAGGATCTTTTTCTCTCTCCACGTAATCACTTACAAAGAATACAAATCTGAACATCACTGTGCATGTTCAGCTATGTGCAAGATCAAATCTACACATATCCACACACACAAAATCACACACTGTGCGAGATATCAGATAACTGAAATTCTTTTCTGTGACAGAGCTGAGGAGAAGCACGGTAGGTTGTGTGAATCATATCTCTCATCAGGGAATCTCTCCAGTGGCTCCGGAACAAAGTGAACATAATTAAAACCCTGAGCCTGAATCTGATGTGTGATGTGATGCTGATCAAATCCACATGGGCTTATGTACCCTGACTGCAGATGTGTGCTTCAAATCAGGTGTAGTGTAGAGTTCAAAATTCTGAATCCACCAGTGAAACTTGTCATCATGTCATCTTATTACCGTGACTGAAACCGGTAGAGATACTAACACATGGAGGACTTTCATAATCCAGTCAATATCCAGTGTTTAGTCATTAAGACATGAAAACATTTCACACTCCTTGTTGAGCGTTTGCACTACCATTTAAATTCAATATTTGAATATTCACAAAAAACAAAAACAAAAAAAAAAAAAAGCAGCATGCAAACAGGAAATTAAATAGGAAAAATTGATTTCATCTTAGTATTCATTATTCAGATACAAAATATTGATTTATTGTTTGTTGCTTTATCAATTTTAAATGCAATATTAATTTAAAACTGTGAATTATTAATCCTAAGCATCAGCTGAGTAAAATTTTGCCTGTTTTTGATAAATTATTGAAAAAAGTCCAGTTGACTAAGAGGTTCCTGTATAAATATGATATATTTGTCTATGTTAATCTATCTAGTCTTTCCTTTACACATTTAAAAAGCTAATTTATCGCCCTGCCTCAAACAAATAGGAGTATTGTATAGTCAGTTAATTCTTTGGCTAACTTTGTATGAGTCAGGGCCGTAACCAGGATCAAAATTTTAGTGACATTCACATTGCAGAAACGTCTCTTGATTTCACCATACCGTATGTGTATTACATCAATTGCTCATTTCTAATCTCCATTATCCTTCCATTCTTCCATAAATTGCTCAGATTGCAGTAGGACAGTTTAAATTTATTAAATGTTTTGGTCCAGTTTGGTCCAAACCCGTGTCATTTGATTGAGTTAAATATTTTAGTCTAAAATAATATTTAATATGATTCAATTAAATATATATATTTTTTTATTTGGTTTAATTTTATTCAGTCAAATTCTTTTGTCCAGGTAGACTGTTAAATTTTATCGAGTTAAATAAATAGTTAATGAAATTTGTCATGCTCATAGTATTTTAATAATCAGTGGAGTTACACAAAACAACACCTTGAAATTAAACTTAAGTGTTTATTTATAGACAGCTATAGAGCTTATATCCTAACTTGATAAGCTAATGTCCCTGCAACTACCAAGTGGTTAACAACATTCCAAGTAGTCTGAATTTATATTTGTGGAATTTGGCAGGCGCCCTTATCCAGTGCGACTTATATTTATCTCATTTATACATCTGAGCAGTTAAAGGTTAAGGGCCTTGCTCCAAGGGCCCAACATCGGCAGCTTGGCAGGGCTGGGGTTTAAAGTCATGACCTTCCAATCAGCAGTCCACCTGCTTAACCACTGAGCTACCACAAATAAAAAGAAATATTATGAAAATATTATGTATTATTAAAATTAATATTTTACAGACCTCCTCAGTTGCTCTGAGGTCAGTTGAGAACCAATCATCATTGGCGAATGCAAGTTTTTCCGCATAATCCAGATCCATTTTCCAGACTACACTCCACCACATTATCAGGACATCACTGTTTCTATATTGAATTTGACGGCTGGAAATAGGCAAAGTGAGACGTAAACAAAGCTGTGTGAAAGTACCAAGGACTGGACCTCAGTGTCTTCATAGCTAGTTATGGCCATAGTCTTAGCGTATGTCACAGAACCACACCCCACGTTGCGTTCTTTGGAGCTAATAATCTTTACCAAATCACGCATATCCGAACTTAATTAATGTACTTAAAGATGTTTTGGTAATAACATAATTTGCAGCAAACTAGAAAAATGACAACCAATGAAGAAATGCTTTACGGCTTAGAACTGGACTCTGATACACTCCAAGTATAAATAAAAAATGTTCATCACAATGGAAAGAATTCAAATTCAATTCAATTCAAGTTCAAGTTCAAGTTCAACAATTAAGAGTATTTTTATTTTTACACAAAATTGCATTTGGAAGAAACATGCAAACAATTTAATGGAAAATTATTAAAATTAAAATATGCATGTAGTCAAGTAGAAGTACAATATCATAATCATGATAAGACTTTGCTTAAATTCAAAGTGCTACATGACACCTGTATGTCAGGGCCCTGGGCTATATATACTTAATAACATGAGGAACATGGATAGTGTAGGCTTTATCTTGGTATATAATGTGAGAAACATGCGGATTTGGTTGGAATGCTATTTTCTGATGGTTAATTGCTGCTAAACAAAACAACATGTATTGTTACTGTACATCAAAGCATGAATGAATGAATGAATGAACGAACAACAACCTGTCTAGGAGTATAGGAAAATATGAAAATATATGTATGGCCTTTTCCCTTCATTCCATTAAACAAAATTAATTAAACAAAACTGTAAACATATTGAGACATTGTTAAACCTTATATACTTGTCACCTTGTCAAGCAAACAGGGTTTAAAGCACATTGACCTGATATTGCTGTACTTAAAGGTATTTGTGTATATAAAAGTCACATCAAGCTTATCTTCTCATTCCCTCCCTCAGACACTAATGTTTCAGCTCGGATATCAGCATGTCTGGCAGACATTTCATCATGGATGACTGCTCATCAGCTGAAACTTAATCCCACCAAAACTGAACTGCTGTTCATCCCAGGGGATTCATCCCCATCTCAGGATCTTGCAATCTCCCTGGACAATTCTCTGATCTCGCCTTCAG